TGATGGTATTCTGGTGGAGATGATAGACGGTGAAATGGAGCCAAAATGAATAGGCCCTCAGTCCAACAGGCCTAAATTCATTCCGCAGGCCCAGTGGAACAGTGTTATCTGAATCTACCGTCCTCCACAGCTGCCTGAGCAATATTGAAGACAGCTAAGGTCAAATTATAGAGGAACGTCAGCATTTGTGTGACTGTGGTGAAATTACTTACAGTTCACAAAAGACCTGATAGCTAGCCGGCCTGCTGTGTGATGATCTACGACAGAGGTCAAAATGTTGAAAAACATAAGGAGTCATCGTGTTTGTTGAGTTCAAACCCAGTTAAAGTCAAATGTGATCATGTGGAGAAAAATACCAAATCTGAGACATGTTTAAGATGCGGGGAAATCTTCTACATCAGCAGAGCATCAGAGCCTAAACGCCCGTGATGAACTCCACACGCTCCCAGGTCCTCTGAACATGCTGTACTTAAGGTGTGAATGAACTACACAGCCTAGCTCATTAAAGATACAGAGCAGTACATCCACTGGGTTGCTCCAGCTCCACCGTACACGATGGAGATCCCTTTCATGGACATCACTCATTAATATGCTAATAGGTGTCATTAATGCGTGATAGTGAAAGGAACACCATTACAGTACTTAGTGGGTCATAGCTAAGAAGACCAGGAGGAGATGGCTCAAAGCTAAGATCCAGACGGTTTTACTGGTAAGGATGTGTTTTGTAAAACAAACCCAATCAATACATCGCTGATGTGGAACATTGGGGACGAAGAGCACTCCTGGCTGGATTTACCAACACTAAATCACTCATTCATCTGAACAGAATGGTGAGCTTTACACACAATGATCAACAGTTACCACCCAGTGAGCTGGAAGGGTTTTGGATCAAATGAACGGGCCTTTTTTTGAAGACCAATTTCACTGAGAAAACGTTTTTACTTGTTATTTTTTCAGATCAGTAACTCTGAGATTAACATGCAGGCTGAATGTGAAAATAGTCGTCCACCCTGTTTGCTGTTAGCCTCTGATAGAACTTATTTGGAGAGACGAAAAAGCCACACAGACCTACGTCCAGGAGGTGAATATTCTAAACATAAGATGTTCCAGGAAGGTCTCACGTTCCTAACCGAGCACTTCGCTCTCAGACTGCAGGTTTACTGGTGATTCCCAGAATATCTAAAATTAGGATGGGAGGCAGATCTTTTAGTTATCAGGCTCCTCTGCTGTGGAACCAGCTCCCAGCCTTAGTCCGTGAGGCAGACACCCTGTCTACTTTTAAGACTAGGCTTAAAACATTTTTTATTTGATAGGGCCAATGGTTAAAATCTGATGTTAGCCTAGATCTGGACAAGTGGGGGAGTAGAGGGAGGTGGAGTGTACAGTCGGTAAAGACGGCTCTCCCTTGCCCTGCCTCCAACATGCCTCCATCTAAAAGGCCAGGTTATCCAGAGTTATCTCTGTAGTTATGCTGCTATAGGCTTAGACTGCTGGAGGATACACTGACCGCTTTCCACACTCTGCTGCTTTCTTCTACAATCTGCTCTTTAACTGTATTATTTCCTGCTATTTCAGCTGTTAACTTTATTTTCTCTCTAAGTGTTTTTCTCCCCAGAAGAAGCTACAATGATGTTCAGCTAGCTGTGGTGACCTCATGGAGGGGGGCCATCGACTAGCACACTGCTGCTAATCACTTAAACATTCTCCCTCTCCTGATAATAACTTTTTGCTTTCCTTGACGTTGGATGCGCTACTACTAGTTTACCTGTTTAATTATAGATTCACTAGAATAAATACAATAAAGTTTATCTCTCACCAAATAGAATATTTACTAAGAAATCACAATGTAACCATAGACACATTACTTTGTCTTTGTCTCTCTGTGTGTGTGTGTGTGTGTGTGTGTGTGTGTGTGCGTGTGCGTGTGCGTGTGCATGTGCGTGTGTGTGCGTGTGTGTGTGTGTGTGTGTGTGTGTGTGTGTGTGGCCTGCTCTGTCTTCTCCATCCCCAGTGAGTCGTGGAGGATGGCTGCTTATACTGAGCCAGGATCCTCTGGAGGTTTCTTCCTGTTAAAAGGGAGTTTTCCTCTCCACTGTCGCTATATGCTTGCTTAGTATGAGGACTTGATGCAATTTGCTGGGTTCCTTATATAGGAAACTTTATTTCTGATTGGCTTAATGAACTGTCAATTGGAATTTTTATTATGTGAAGTGCATTGAGACGACTCTTGTCGTGATTTGGCGCTATATAAATAAACTTGAATTGAATTGAATTTTCTCGCCACTGATAGGCTAGTAGGGCTCTCCTCAGATTGGTTATGTTTGTAGCAGCTCCATCCCGCTAAGTGCATGCTGTCCTCCTGCTACCATGATACACAGATGATGAGAGATGTGTCCTAACTTTCAGGTTACGGATGTTAAGCAAGCCAGATGCAAGTTAGAATCATCATCTGTTTGAATATATAAATGCAATGTAATTCAACGCTTTTTTCCCCATTGGTTGCCATTAGTCTAGGAGAGGAACATATCTGCTGCCCACCGCTGGGCACAACAGAGCAGTTTTATTATATTTCATGTTTCTTACACCCAGGTTAGGCACACTTATGTTTGGCCTATGTACTCTGCTTTAGTGAGATAACCTCAATACTTCAGAGCCAACACACATAAAGTCAATCCAATAGTGCGAAAAATGCAACGAGATTTACAACAAGTTGTATTAAAATGTAATTATAAATTATATTTATTATCATACGTTTTCACCTTTTTTATAAAAGAAAGACACAGAAGATGCAAAACAGGACAACATTGTTATTATTACGCTATGTTCACATTTTTATAAAATAATTCCCTGAAACAGCTGTTTTGTTGGCAGAAGGGCAGCACTTAGTAGGGGAAGATGGTTTGCTGCTGAAAAAAGGAGCCAATCGTAGCAGATCCCTTCTAGGCAATCAGAGGCAAGAAATTAGGAACCTTCCTAGAATGTCTCACGTTTACAATATGCACACCCAGGAGAGAGCAGAGCGTGTCTCGACTAGTAGAAGCTAACCGTTAGTGTTAGCAACTCTACCGCACAGCAGAACTCCTCTAGGCTTGTGTTGTTTGTGAAGATAAAACATCAACGTTGTAAAGCAAAACAGCCATTTAGTCAGTTACTCTTAGCCAATCAGAGGCGAGATGTCTGAGTATGGTGCAAGAGTCCAACCCCCCAGCTAACCTTTACTTCCTGAAACAGGAGCGCAACAGCTTTCACAGAAAAACGGCTCACAACGCTTTTATTTATGCTAGAGACCACAGCAGATGAAAACAAAAACGAGTGAATGTGAAGTTTGAATGGGAAACGTGTGTATGAGCACACTTGATTAAGCTCAACTTATTTCTTCTCATTGAAAATGTCACTTTTTGCGCCACAGCTCTGATCGGAACTGACACTTGGTGATATAAAGCGGGACTTGTCCCGATGGGTCACACGCACATCTCAGACGGGACTCACATAAATCAACTTCAGGACCCGGGACAGCTCCCGCACGGTGCGGCATACTAAACGGACACCGAGCCGCGCGGGGAAGCGGGTTAATTAGTGCCACACAGGGGCTGCTGTGCCGGGACAACTCCGAGGCCCGACTGCGCTCAGATTAATTCTAGTCATTTCCGGGCAGATCTGGTCTTTTTCTCAGCGCCTCAGCAGAATAATGAGTTAGCAAGTGACCCGAAGACACCCCGACAAGCAGCTGGATATGATGCGGCGCCAAAGTCGCATTTCTCATCTCATTGGGTTTCTCATTACTGCGTTTTGCATTCGTGCATGGCTACTGAAAATTAATAGGAAGCATAACTAGGAGCCTGTTGTATTCACGGCCCTGCACGCTACCTGTCACGGACAACGTCCACGGGAAGGCTTCAGAAAGCCTTTCAGACACAAGGCTGAAGTCAGAGCGCCTTAATTATTCCTGTGAGGTAGTTAGAGCTAAACTCCTCTTCATGACCGGCTCAGGCCGCCGCTTCCAGGGTGCTGATTTTATTTTTATCAATGCAATCTGAAATGAAGTCACGCGCCCGGGTGGAGCTCTGATGCCAGCTGCTATAATGTGTGCTGTCATGCTCATTATGAAAATGCCAGCATCCATTCGTTCAGCCGGTCGGTGGCCCTATCTGTGCTGCAGCCTGTGACTCACGGTTCATGCATAGGCATGGCCGAGACGGGATTCAACATTATGCAGAACACCTTCTCTCTCTTCAAACTAATGTGACAGCTCGAACAGATAAGGACTCTAAGTGCTGACATCTCCTCTGGTGGGCTTTTTTTTTAATTCGTGGAGTGGACCAACAAAACTGTTAAGGAGGGGGAATTCATTTAGTCTCGCCGCCAAAGTCTTTAGAAATAACTGGCGCCTTAAAGCAGGTGTAAAGCTAATGGAAATGCCATTTCGCTCGCGGGTCAGCGTTTCATTTAAAGTGACGAATAGAGACGGGTGCTCTTCAAACGCTTGTTATTATTCTCTCCACGACGTCCGCCTCGGTCCACCCTCCTCTGGCAGCGATTACAGAGAGCTACTTGTGTTTTAAACATGTGACAAAGTGAGAGAGGGGCTCAGAGGAGAGCTGTTCAGCTGCCGACAGCTCCTACACGCGGGATCCGGGTTCTGCGCTCCCCCGCACGGCAATGCGGAGTAGGCGGGTCAGCGGCGGAGACGACACCGGGCTGAGGCGACGGGACTCCTAACGGGGACTACATTCCAGCACATCTGTCTGCAGCTGGACTCCGACGGTTCCTGATGGAGAGAGAATAAGAAGAAAAAAGCACTGAGGCTAATCCGCTAATCGGCATCTCCCGTGCGCTCCTGGAGTCTCTCCTCCTCCCTCTCTCCTCCTCCTCTTGACTCCATCTGCTGCTGGATCATTTCATTTGCTGAAGTCATTATTCGCTGAAAGGTCAAAGCTTTTAGGAACCTTTAATCACTCTGGAATAAGTAGACTCGACGTGTTATTTTCCTTCCCAAGTTTCGTCCGGGCTCCCCTTTGTCCGAGCCGCCTTCCTCTCAAATCGCTTCGACTTGGTTCGGAGTGTGCACAAGTGCGTCCTGGAGTGCCGTTTCCCCTTTTCTCTTCTCCGCGGAGTTGCTACTGAATCCCAGCAAACTGTGAAATGTGCTCTTTGGCCGCTGCGGCAGCTCGGGGCTCCGAGATCCTGCAAGAGGATGAAGAATACTGAGCTAAACTTTACGCGCTGTTCCATACCCTGGTGAGTTCCACAAATCTGACTTTTCCCTTTTTGTTGGAAAGTGCATCAATGCAAAGTACCAGAATCATCTTACCAGCATTCATGAGATCAGTTTTCTGGATGCATCTGTGGGACGCTCTGATCCACAGCTGCATGAAACCCTTCCTCTAGCTGCACCGTCTGACACACGCTGCTGTATCTGCTGATGTTTGAGAAACACATCCACACGTCTCACCTTTTACATCTGAACTAGCGGTCTTCATTTCTTCTGCACATCTATTTATTCCCACCAGCCTTTATCTGCCTTTCCAAGAAACATTTTTAATCTATTTTCCTTTGGGAGTGATGGCATTCCCGCCAGCCGAAGATCAGACCTGCACATCTCTGATATGTGGACAGAGCTGGGTTAAAGGAAGCAAAAACCACTCAGTTTCGTAGCTTAAGGGGGGGAATGGAGGGGGGGAAATTCCCCACTGATTTAATAATTATATTTCTCACCCTTTAGCATCACCCTCAAAGGCAGAACAGGAATCAGGGTAACCTCGTGAGATCACCATGGAGGCTGTGATAATGAGCCAAAAGCCCTCAAAGAAAGCAAATATCAGTTTTTTTCTGCCACAACAGCAGGCTGACTTACAGATGGTTTTTAGATGAAACCCTAAAATAAATGTCATCTTAGAAACTCTCTTGGAATATTGTTGTTGTTGCAGAGCTCGGTGGAAATAAAAGGCACTCGCTGTGATCCTCGCTGCACAGAAGTGTGCTCACAAGGCCACAACAGGGCTTCTGTTCCAAAGTGTCCTCATCCGTCCCAGGGGGCCGGTGAACCCGACTGTGCGGGCCTGAAAGGCACGCTGTCTCGTCTAATGAAAAGACAGATGCCTCTCATTGTGTTTGTCACCTGGACCACAACAAAACGGGTCAAAACCGGCTCTGGATGCACGCAACAGTTAAAACAGAGGTTTTAAACCAAATCTGCTTTTAGCGTGTTTGTGTAAACTCTTTGTGTCTGCAAGACCAGCAGCCCCCCCCCCCCCCCTTTTTTTTTCTTTTCTGGGTGACATAATGTACATGAGAGCTGACAAATGGAGCTTGAAAAAAAATACTTTTGCATGACAACTGTGACGAGCGGAGAAGCGTCTTTAGGCTTTTAGACTAATGCCAGCAGCAGGAATTACATGCCTGAGAGGGCTCCTTGTTCTCACAGCTTAGTGTTGGGTGGCTGATACGGCCGGATGCAGCATCATCTGTACGTTTGATGGCAGATGAGAGAAGGGAGGGGAGGTGAGAAACAAAAAGGAGCTCTGCCATCCTCCTCCCACTGCTACTGTAAGCTGATAAATGCAAATAATGTTCAGCAAAAAGGGCTTTCTATTGCTTATGCTAGAATAGATGGGTCAATGCTTTTGGGAGGATGGACCGCTTCCAAATCCTTAATATGATGACTAACTGCTGTTTCTGCATAAAATACCATTTTATTCTGTTTGATTATGACTGATGTTTGATTGGAAGAGGGAGCTGGGAGCTTGAGATACAAATGGAGCCAAAAAAGGAAGGCCGTCTCTGAGAAACATTTTTACTTATTGTGTTTTCATGCAGGCTGAACATGAAAATAGTCTCCTACACCTATCTCCTGCATTAGCTTCTGATAGAAATCGGTTGGTGAAACTCTGGGATTAGAAAATCCTGACAGAGCTACGTCACACTGTCACTAACGTTCATGGACTCGCCCATCTTGACTCACGACAGGGAAAGCTGTTGTTGGTTTAGCACTCAGGAAACAGCAGTCTCAACCAGTACAAGCTAACTGTTAGCATTAGCTACTCCACCACATGGTAGAACTCCTCCGAGCTTGTGCTATTTGTGGAGATAAACACCAACGTTGCAGAGCAAACGTGGTAGAGTCGCGTTGCTGTTATCTAATCAGAGGAGAGATGTCCAAGTTTTGTCAGAAAATAACCCCTACTTTCACACTGGAAGCATCAGTGGAGTGGAAGAGCAAGAGAACGGTTTACTCTTGCTGCAGCCCAGTACACTCCAGGAGAGTCTTGGCCATGGAATGGCTTCCTCTCTGAACTCGCAAGATCACAAAATCCCTCGAGTTTTAACCATCTGCCATTAAACCACAGCAGCAAATGATCTGTCACCTTTGGTCTTTGGCCTGGTGCTGCACAACCAGTAGGCTTTGGTCACTGGACCTCAGGGACATGCTGGGGGTGTAGGGACTGAGGAGGCCACCAATGTATGATGGTGCTTGTTCATGTAAGGCCCTGTAGACCAGAACCAGGATCTTGAAATGTACCCTGAAGTTGACATTGCTTCACTTCTGGAACGATGCTGGGAGTAAATAACCCGTTTGGTTACTTGTATTGACGTAATCTGCATAGATTAGAGATTTTACACTTAAACTGTATGCGATTTACTGTCCAGCCCTGTGTTAACAGCAGAAATTGTCGCGTCCCAGAAGCGGCCTGGCGCGGCGAGCCGCTTCTGGGTCGCGGCTGGTTTGAACCACGCCCATAGACTTTTATGGATTCCAATATGAAGAAGTGCCATTATGTGGTGCTTATGCTTCTAGTGTGAAGTAGGGGATGGACTCCAAATCCTGTCATCTGAAGCTTCTTTCCCCTCAGGCTGAATTCTCCGCGCTGAAACACTGGACAGTATGGACAGGTTTCAAAACCCAAATTTGGCTTCACTGAAGGACTGGAAATGATCAGTTTAAAGACTGAAGGCAGAGAGGAAAATTATCTCAGCCTGACCCGAACAAATTCTTGTTATCTGAATCTGACGCCCTGGTAGCCTTGAGCTGCAACCAAATAAAACCCCCACGAAGGAATGCAGACAGATGCTGTGAAAACCGACTCCCACCTACCTTCGGATTGGTGGACTTCAGCCTGGCAAGGTCATCAATCTGTAGGACTCAATGTACTCTTTGCTTCTCCCAAGATCTCACTCCCACCTGTGACTGTACAGTAGATGAGCGCCAGATGGCTGCTCTCGCTGGGGGAAACAGGATCTCCCCCCACACACACCCACCCCACCCCTGCCTTCCTATTGGAGTCTCATGTTGTGTTGTCTGAAGTCTGTTGCATATCTGTTGGGGTGTGTGTGTTTTTTTTTTTTTGCAGAGCAAAGCTGTCCTCCTGCTGGAGGGCAGCTTTGAAGTGCATTTTTTCCCTCCACCTGAACCAATCCTCATCTTACCCTCTTATCTCTATTAAGGTAGTGCGACTCAGGGTTGTGAATGACCACAGTCACCAATTTTTGTCATGTGTCTTGCCCATGTATGTCTGACCTCTGAATTGAGTGTACTGAAACTCTAATTTCCCCCTGGGATTAATAAAGTATTGATTGATTGATTGAAACAGGCGCACCGGAATTTCTTTTCCCCAGAGAGTGACTTAGTTGTGTTGCAACACATTCTCACTCCCAGCATGTCAAAAACAAACGCTTGGCCAGCCACCCTCCACGTCAGACCCCTTGACGCCAAAAGTGCCCTTTTTCGGTACTTATGTGCGAAAAGGGGTTTTTCCCTTATTTGACTGCAGATCCCAAAGCAGCGTGACACTGACGCGATGGGATGTCCGCAGCCAGGGCACCAAACAATCTCATTGTACCTCACCCTAACCTCATCCTCTTATTTAACCTTCCCCTCACCCCTATCCCAACCTTAAGCATCTTGCTAGCGAACATGTTAGTGATGTGTCGGTCGCTCTAAACGCCGGCTCTATGAAGTGAACGGCGGGAGCCGCCTCGTCATTGGTCGAGTTTGGACCGAGCCAACGCGAGGGGGAGGTTTCAACTACCACCGTGGAGGTTAGAAGTAGAGGGTATGTGTAACCTCCCCCTCGCCAGATGGTATGTTCTAACGTTCCCCGTGGGCGGAAAATACGAAAATTCACAGTCAGACTCTGACTGTCAGAGTCAGAATGCATGGGAAACAAACACTTGATCACAGTGAGAGTAACGTTTTAGGCAGCAAGAGGGTTAAGGTTAGGATGAGGGAGAGGGGAAGGTTATAAATAGTGAAACGTTAAGGTTTAGGTGCGGTTAAATGAGCTGGTTTGATGCAGCATCAGCGGATATCTAATCACGTCAGTTTTACGCTGCATTGGGATCTGCAGTTACAAAAGGGAAAAACCCCTTTTCGCACATAAGTAACGAAAAAGGGCACTTTTGGCGTCTGGGGTCTGACGTGTAGGGTGGCTGACCAAGCGTTTGTTTCTGACGCTTAGGTGTGAGAATGTGTTGGACTTAGAAGGCATTCATTCCTACTAGAGACCACTGGGGTCACTGGGGCGGTGGCGGTACAGGAGTTAAGCGCTCAACCTATAATCTGAAGGTTGCAGGTTAGAGCCCTGCTCAGTTTGTTGCAGTCCTTGTGTCCTTGATCCCCCTTGTCTGCTGGTGGTGGTCGGAGGGACCGGTAGCGCCAGCGTTCGGCAGCCTCGCCTCAGTCAGTGCGCCCCAGGGCAGCTGTAGCTACATCGTAGCTCATCCCCACCAGTGTGTGTGTGTGTGTGTGTGAATGACTGATTGTGTTGTGAAGTGACTTGGGGGCTCCAGGACTCTAGAAGGCGATATATCAAGTACAGACCATTTAAAAATAAGAGTAAAGTTCCTTTTTAGGAAGTGTCTGTTAGTGTTCAGTGTTGTTCTCAGGTCCAGATTCCTGATGATCGTCTCAGTGTCCTCAGCTTATTATATTATGATAATGAACAAACCACTGAGCGTTATGTAAGCATAGAGATGAGGGTGAAAGAAAAAAGGTGAACAGAAAGACGAGAAAAGTAGAAAATTCTACATTTTTAGGGATTTGAGTCTGACTTGGTCAGCAGAATCTCACAAAAGCAATCTACAGATTTGCAGTCGTTCTTAACCAGACCAGAGCAGAACGCTGAGACAGACGCCAGGAAGCAGCAACAACCTGCAGACGCGTTCCTCAGACTGGATTTGTCTGACCGTAATCGCATTTGCAGGTTTGCTGTTGTAAAAAAGGTCAAATAAAATAAAGCAAC